ATTAAAATAGCAGACTTTCCGGGCTCTATTCTCATGCTCAGTCCAAATCTGGTGCGAGGCGTGGTGTAAATCTGCACAAAGGCCAGTGAGATTAAGTTTTGGTATTTTCGCAGACCCGTGCCAGCCAGCAAAGGATGTTTCGGGTGTGAGTATAACTGACTTGTTTTGTCGGCAAGTGAAGCAGCTCCTCTCATTCCTCTTTAAATATGTGTGAGAGATGCACTGATAGTCCTTGACGTGACGGAAGAATACACTGATTTGCTTGAGGCTTGCGGCATGTTGCACATCAAAGGAAATGACCTCGGTATGCCCGGACACCTGGCGTCGGGGGGAAAGATGAACCAAATCCCCAAACAACTACATCGAAGCAAGGTCGTCCCAAAAATCAGGATACGTCATTTACGCGAAAGCTCAGCTGCGCTGTCTATGAGCCTTCTGTGTTCCAGGCATGACCTATAAAGACTTTGTGTGGGTCTACTGATAATATGCATGACCACCAAATTTCACGTCGCTAAGGGAAACTTGCTCATGCAACTACACTGTTGGAGAGCACCTAGAAATGGCCCAACTTGCTGTGCATTTTACAGCATTTGTTGAGATTTTTTGTGGGTCTCCCCCGGATAGACATGTCTACCAAATGTTGTGTTGTATAAGGAAACATGTATTATTATTCTTATTATGATTATGATTAGGATTATTACTCCTTTGAAGGACCCTAGAAATGGCCAAAATGAGCCCAAAATAGACACTTGAAAACAAAATGGCAGACTTTCTGTGTGTTTGTGTTTCTATGTGCCTTTGAGACTTTTTTTGTGTTTCTAGTCTACCATGATTATCCATATTAGACATGTCTACCAAATTTCATGTTGCGAAATGAAACTGGCTTAAGTGGCTAAATTTAAAAGAAATTATCCCCCCCCACCCAAAAAAAACCCATCTAGGGTGTGCTATCGAGTCAGGGGTTTCACACCTACAATACCAACCACGTATTTGCATCAGCATTTGGGGAGCGTTTGAGTGGGGGAAATGTCAATTGATTTGGTCTAACAACGTAGAATCGAAGCAATCCCACCTCCATGCTCTAACACTAACAATTTATTTGTAGAGTGGTTGTGGTAGAGGGAAAGTGGGGAGTTTCTCAGTTCCTATGCTAACACAAATCCGACTGGAATGATGATTGATTGGGGAGCATTTGTGCTTTCGGGGCCTGCGGGGGAAGAAACACGCAAACGCTCAAGGAACAACCTGCAGCCACTTGTCGAACTGGATCACATTTCTTCGTTGCCCTCATTCTTCTCAGGGACTTCACAAGATGACCCGCAGCACTTTTGTCCATCCCCTCCCCTAAAAATGGTCAAATGGATCACTTTTTTGTTCAAATTGCCTTTGCCGAGGTCACATGAATGCTGCTGCTGCTGCTCTCCACTGAGGAGCACAAATAAAACTATCCAGCCTAGCGGGATCTGGATAATGAAATTTTTTCTCCTATGTCAGGACTTGTCATGTTCAAATGAATTCCAATCACAAGTCAGGGAACGTTATACAGTAGGCTATACACAACCTCGGTCTCTCTGGATTTAGGCGTACTAAGTGGATAGCGAATGATTTAAAAGACAGCGAAGAATTTCGTGGTTTATTTGTCCTTTCAAGGTTGCCACACGCCAAGTGATGCTGAAATGGACGGTAGTGGAAAAATTACAGTGGGTGACTATTTGCCGCCCACCCAATAATTGAACACTACACATCTACCAAAGTGTCGCAAGTGAGAACATGTGACCCTCTATCAGGTTTTCACATTCCAGCCAAGAACTTTTGCAATTTGGTCTCTAAATCTACATCCATCAATCGATCCATTTTTCGATTCGCTTTATCCTCACAAGGGCCGCGGGCGTGCTATAGCCTATGCCAGCTGTCTTCAGGCAGTAGGCGGGGGAAACCCTGAACCGGTTGCCAGCCCATCGCAGGGCACACAGACACAAACAACCATCCGTGCTCACACCAATGGACAATTTAGAGTGTTCAATCAGCTTGCTATGCGTGTTTTTGGAATGTGGGAGGAAACCGAAGTACCCGGAGAAAACCCACGCAGGCACAGGGAGAACATGCAAACTCCACACAGGGAGGCCAGAGCCAGAATTGAACCCGGTACCTCTTCACTGTGAGGCCGTCGCGCTAACCACTCGACCGTCCTAACCGCCCGTTGCTAAATCTCACCGGGCTAAAAACAAAAACAAAAACAAAAAACTGACAGTTAAACATCTCTTCACTGCACCACAAGTGAGTAAGCACCGCGCATCTGCAACCATAATTACGAAGTGAGCCAGGACGAAAACAAGTTTGACACCCCTGTTAAATGATGCGTGGATCAACTGATTGGTGTCTGCGCGTTACCTAAACTAAGTGGGATGCTGTGTTGAGATGACAACGATGCCTAAAATCTCACAGCCCTGAAACCCAAACAGTGACCCAGAGCGTTCTAATCTGATCCCGCGTCAGCAGCGTGTCGCCTCTGCACCGCAGATAAAGCACCCGTACCGTCATCATCACCGTCATCATCATCATCGCTGTCACCCTCCGCTGGAGCCTCCAACACCAGCAGCCTGCCTGCAAGGGCCAAGTACCTGTGCCGTAACCAGGCGAGCGTTTTGCAGAATCCCATCGGAATGCTCAGATAAGACATAATAGCGGCTTTGGTTTCCATCTCTGCCGCAGGACTCACTGCATTTGTCTTTCGGAAGAGGCAGAAAGATTGCATTTCTTTTTTTTTCTCCAACGCTGATCGCTGATGCTGTCGTTCACATGCTTGGCACGCTTCTGTGCAGATCAGCGGTCAGGGATGTTTGATTGAGGTGGCCGGCGAGGCTTGTCGCTCAACTCAATTCACTTCAACCCTTGTTCCAGATGCAGGCGCAATTGATGAGAATCCATAATTTTCGGGGTATGTCAGAACTTTGTGGTCCGGTTTCATAAAACTCCAAAAACGATGACAACAACAAAGTTTTCCCTTCCCAAGTAATCCACCATTAGTATGATTTACTTTGAGCCTTCCATGCCACACTTGCATGCAATTCTGGAAGGATTATTTCAGGATCCGCCGCAGCTTTGTTGTCACGGCCATCTTGATGTTGTCCAGATCTTTAAAACCAGGTCCCCTTTATGACCCACTTGAGCTTGGAGGAAACACAAAATCCGACGGAGCCAGGTCGAGTGAGTATGGCGAGGTTGCTCCAGCACAGCAGTGCTTTTCTCAGTTATGTTTGGTACATAAGGATTTTTCAAATCTTCTTTTTATTTTTATTTTTTGTACAATTTATGACAGACCTCCCTTAATGTTGAAGAATGTCAGGTTTCAGACAAATCCACACCTCTGACATAAGTATAGTCTTATGGTTGAATCCTGTAAAGCATAAAATTGTTGTGCGTTGGACATTCTTGCTAGGGAAGGGGCAAAATGGGGACAAAAATAGCCCAATTGTCTTTCGATGAGTACCCGGCCGAAGGAACTGAAGGATGCTCAGAGAATTACGAGCAGGCGCTTTTGTCATGGTGAAGCAGCAGCAACTTTTCCAACCACAACTCTCACTTGTACTTGCACACCGAACGGAGCATCAAAAGAGGACGTGAAGCAATTTCCTCCTCAGCTCCTCTGAAGTTGTCAACTGAGGTACATATTTAGCTTTTCAGGAGACTCAGTCAATTTTCTGTGTCAAGTGGGTGTGTGGCAACCACCAAGTGAGGAGGTACTTGAATAATGAGTGTCGAATCTACATCACAATGATGCCAAAATCGAATCTGCTCATTTTGCAGGCCTTGGCCTTTCAAAAAGCTATCGCGTGCAAACGACCAACTGCTTGAATTTCAGACTGAAACCATGTCACAGACTGGTTTTGACCTGGAAAAAAAATGTACATTTTGACAGCATGGGACCTCGAAAAAAATGTGATATCATGACAGCGTGAATGTTGAACCACTGTCGCTGGGAACACTGTAGACACAGTAATGTCCTGGTATTCATTGCGGATAGGGACCGAGCTCGGTTTGCAATTGCAAAAAATGGCACCCTCTGTTTGCTCACAAAAGAGGCTCCATTGAGCACAGAAATACTTTGTATTGCAATCAAAACACTCTATATATATATATATATATATATATATATGTGTGTATATATATGTCTGTTGCCATTCAAATGTCAGATTTTTGCTGTACTTTTCCATTTAAATGTAACAGGTAACTTTTTTCAATAGTTGAATTTCCCATTGCATTTGAAAGCAAAGCCACCTCAGTGTACCTCTTATTTCTCCACTATTTGTTTGACTTTTCACTCCATTCTGCCAAATAAACGTCGGTGTCTTTGAGAGCAAATAGAAGCAACATTCGTCTGACAACATCGAATGCAGCGGCACATTTCATTCCCACTGAAATTCCCCCCTCTCCGCAAAGCTCTGTGATGACCAAGCAACAATCAGCTCAGTTGCCTGTGGTGTGGCTTCCAGAGTAATAATGGCAGGAAGATTTCACGGGGGATGCTGGTCCGTTCTACCACCTGCCTGAAAATGCTCCAAGGCAACTTTTGTCTTTTGGAACATCGTGCGGCGCTTGCTCAGAGCAAGTCAGAACAAGAGTTCTGGTATTGTGTTTGATTTTGTTGCCATTGACGGGCTGTAAGCCAGAGAGAGACAGATTTAAGTATGTGTTTTTATGCGCAACCCAGAGCAGAGCATGCTGGCAAGTGATTGAAATGAGTGATTTTTGCTTTTTTAGTTTAATTATGCTATCAAAACCCTATATATGATCAAGTAATAGTTAATTGTAAAATTAATTATTTTATTGTAAAATATCCCGTCATCTAAAATAATGATCGTCACTTTTGGGAGTTGAATGAAGTGCAACTTTGACGGCCATTTTTTATTGTCAAACACTTTTGAGAATACAGTTAATTGTATCCATCTATTATAAAACATATGCCTCACGCATTTGTGTGTTTTCCTTTTCCTTTTCAGACAACAGAGGATCAAAATGCTACTCCAAAAAATGGCGTCATCACTGCTTGCTAATTTGCTAACATTCGCCACAGTTCTGCTAAATTCAGCACGATGCGACGGAACAGTGGCAGAACTCAAAGCCGGATCTCCACTGAGATTCACACACCACCTCTACAACACCACCATTGATGAGAACTCTGGCGCGGGGTCATACGTTGAGACGCCGGTGAAGATGGGCTTGGAAATGGCGGACGCATTCTGGGAAATCAAATATGTGATTGTCTCCGGGGATGAGAGCGGCTATTTCCAAGCAGAGGATGTCAAAGTTGGAGATTTTTGTTTCCTGAGGATCAAAACTCAACATGTGGCACTCCTAAACAGGGAAGTTAGGGATGCCTATACACTTACTGTGGAGGCCACGGAGAGCACCCAGGAACTCCAAGCCAAGACCAAAGTCTTTGTCCAGATCCTAGACACAAATGACCTCAAGCCTCTTTTCGATCCATCCTCATATAGCGTAGCCATCCCTGAAGACACACCACTTCAATCGAGTCTGGTCAGGGTCAGAGCGGCAGACGCCGACATGGGCAGCAACGCTGAGTTCTACTACTCATTCACCATCAAATCCCATCCGTTTGTTGTGGACCCTTTCAGCGGCACTATCAGACTTTTGAAGAGACTGAACCACACCCGCAGCGAGCGATATGAGCTCACCGTGTTAGCCGAGGACAGAACCAAGAGAATCTCTGGCATTCAGAAATTCGGCAATGTCGCCAAGGTGAGCATAAAGGTACAAAAAGCTGCCGCAGCTTCTCCGGTGGTCAAACCCCCTGCCAATCCGTCCATCTCTGCAGATGGCACAGTGACGATCAACGTCCACGTCGAGGCAGGCCTCAAGCCCGTCAAATCTCTTCGCATCATTGGCGGTGATCCTCACAAGAACTTTGAGGTCATCCCTGAGGGATTGCAGGGAAGCAACTTCCAAATCGTCTCGACGAAGAAGATCGTGTGGTCACAAAGTCCCTTTGGGCTCAATCTGTCCTTACAAGCTCAAGATATCAGCTCCCCCAGTTTGATGTCTCCCATTGCTAAGATTCACATTCCTGCCTTTCATTACCGACCCAAATCGTTTTTGGAAGAGACCTACATTCTTGTGCTCAGTGAGATGTCACCCCCGAAAACATTTGTTGCAAAGGTTTCTGTTGATTCCGGCACTGTGACGTACAGTATCAAGACGAACCCAGACAGCTCTAAATTCAAGATAAATCCCAAAAGCGGGATCATCATTACCAGGGAGACGTTTGACTATGAGGATCAGAATCACTATGAATTTGACGTACTGGCCAATGGAGGCGAGGCTAAGGCTCATGTCGTAGTCAAGATCGCAGACGAGAATGACAACAGTCCAGAATTCACGCCGTCGTCCTATCAGGCCACGGTGGATGAAAATAGCCCCATCGGCAGCAGCCTCTTGAAAATAAAAGCGACCGACAAAGATGATGGGAAACACAGTTTTGTGACCTATGCCATTGCCAATGCAGACCTACTGCCATTCGCAATAGACCCCTTTACTGGTGTCATCTTCACTACTGAGCACATGGACTTTGAACTAATGAAGCGTTGGTACCACCTGAGGGTTTGGGCCTCAGACAGTGGCGAGCCGTTCAGTCGGGTCAGTGAGTGCACCGTGACAATCACCCTCAACAATGTTAATGACAACGTGCCTCTTTTTGAGAGGGTGGGCTGCAACGTCACAGTACCTCCAGATCTCGCTGTTGGCCGTACGATTGTGGAGATGTCGGCCATCGACTTGGATGAACTACAGCAGCTGCGCTATATCATTGAGTCGGGTAATGAGTTCCAGATATTTGCCATCAACTCTGTGTCAGGTGAGGTCATCCTGAAGCGTGCAATTCCGCCGGGTGTAAATTCATTCGATTTGCAAGTGGTGGCCTCGGACGGGGAGCACCGCTCAGAAGCATCAGTCGTCCGAGTGACGGTCACCAGCTTGGGCGACGAGCCAACGGTCAGCTGTCAGGAAACGTTCATTTTCAAACAGCTCACCGATAAACTGATAGAGTCAGTTAAACCTATCTGGACTGAAGACGTGGACTATACATCTTCCGATATCCACATCACAAACAGACACTCTCCCATATTTGACGCCGGTGTTCCTAGCTCTCTGGATCTTTCTGAGGACTACCCACTGAATTCCACGGTAGTCCGCTTGGATGCATCGGATCACGACACGGGCTTTAATGCCATGCTCACGTACGCCATCTCCGGTGGGAACGAGGATGGCTGCTTTGTCGTCGACACCTTTTCTGGCGACCTTCGTCTACTTTGTGGGCTCGACAGAGAGAGTAAAGAGTTCTACATTCTGAATATCTCCACCTATGATCTGGGAACACCGCAAAGGTCAGCGTGGAAGTTTCTTGCGGTGAATGTCCTGGATGTTAACGACAACCCGCCTCTTTTTGATCAGCCCAGACATGTGATTCACATCCCTGAAAACACCAAAGTAGATACGGTCGTTTTTACAGCCCGAGCAACCGATTCTGACATAGGTGAGAATGGGAAAGTCAAGTACACCCTCCTGACGTCCATCGAAATATTTCGGATTGAAGAGGTGACAGGCGAGGTGGTGGTCATGGCTCCTTTGGATCGAGAATCCTCACCCAGGCATGACGTATGGATCGAAGCCAGGGATCAGTCCAAACTTACTCCACCGATGTTCGCCACCCTCCACCTTGTAGTCGTGCTTCAGGACGTCAATGACAACCCACCTACCTTTGTAACAAAGGTCTACAGAGTCAAAATTCCAGAGGATTTACCAGTCGGAACCTTACTGGTCTGGGTGGAAAGTGTGGACTCCGATCTGGGCGGTGGTGGCCTCATCACCTACAACCTTAAGAACACCGAAAGTGGGATCTTTCGCCTGGACTCCTCAACTGGTGCCTTGACCCTAGAGAGGGAGTTGGACTTTGAACGACGGGCGTCGTACAACCTCACCGTCCGCGCTGTTGACCACGGCCCCCCGCGATCACTTTCATCATCCTGCTTTGTGGAGATCCAGGTCTTGGATGTCAATGAGAACCTCCACCCACCACTTTTCTCTGAGTTTGTGTATGAGGCCATAGTGACGGAGGACGCTGTGGCAGGGACAGCGGTGCTCACGGTGACGGCCACGGATAAGGATGTGGGTGGAGATGGTGTCATCCGGTACCGCATCCACGACGGCTCTGGTCTAGGAGTGTTCGCCATTGATGAGGAAACAGGTAAAACGGGATAGAAGTAGGGTTGAAATGGTTTCCCGATAAAATTTGACCAAATTTCAAATGACTAGTGTTAACATGAAAAGCATGGTAGAGCAGTGGTTAGCAGCTTTTGTCTCACTGTTGATGGTTCTGGGTTTGAACCCTCCTGTGTGGAGTTTGCATGTTCTCCCAGTACTTGTAGGTGTTTCCACTAAGACATCCTACCACATTCTAAAAATATGTACCGTATGTTAGCTTCAATGAAAACTCAAAATTCTCCATAGGTGTGAACAAGAATATGAATGTTCGTCTATATGTGCCCTGCCAAAATTCTCCTGGATACTGTGAATCAGAATTCCACTTTGAAAAGTGGATGTCTCAATTCAACCAAATATGGTCATTGCAAAGGGCCAAATCAGTAAATGAGCCATGCTGTCCATTGCTTTGGGAAGCATGAATCATCACAACAAGCAAGAGAATGAAATTGAATTTCTTATCAACGCAGTGGAAACGATGTTTGCTGGTCTTGACAGTTTACTAAAAAATAAACAACAGGGATGGCAGAAGAAGAAATAAAATAAGTGGTCAAATTGGAAAGCCACTCTCCTTGCTTCCCCGCACCAGTGCACACGCCACTCACCAGTATAAATAAACACTATTTATTCCCAAGTAGCACTCAAAGGGCATGAGCAGCATAATCAAAAAAAGGACAGACAAGATATTAACAGCCTAAATCATGCTCAAAGTGCAAAAACAGGTGTGTGTGTGTGTGTGTGTGTGTGTGTGTGTGTGTGTGTGTCACAGTCATATCTCGGTTTTCGACCAAAATCCGTTCCAGAAGGCTGTTCGAAAACCGATTTGTTTGAAAAGCGAAACCACGCTAATTTAAAAAAAAAATCTTTATTCAACACGTCTGCTCACAATGGAACGCTACACGAGGAAGCGTCACTTCCTCGTCTAATGAAGGCGAGAGGAGTCAAGTGGCGCATTCAAGTGCTCTCAGTTTGGTCGAGAACCGATTTTCGGCGAGGCTAATGTTAATCTGTGCATTCATCAAAACTAAGTGCAGTTCTGCTTACCTTACCTGTTCTTGGTAACACTGGAAAATTCTTGATGAAGACAGACTCACACTTCAATCCAAATATATTGTTGATACCATGCGTTGTCTCCACAGGGGTGATCCGGACCACTGGGCCGCTGGATCGAGAAAAAGTTCCCCACTACTGGCTCTCCATTGTGGCCACCGACCTTGGTACTGAGCCCCGGGCCTCGTGGACGCATGTTTACATGGACGTGCTGGACATCAACGACAATGCTCCGGAGCTTTCCCAGCCCATCTACTTCGCGTCTGTCCCTGAGAACGTGGAAGCCATCACCTCCATCGTCCTGGTGGCTGCCTCGGATGCTGACGCGTCCTCGCAGGGGCGGCTTTCATTCCACATTACAGAGTCGCATCGGACTTACTTTGATGTTGATCACAAAACAGGTTAGTGACATATTTATCAAATTCAATTGGCTGCAAAGCTTCATTCAGAACCGGCATTGATCTAATGTTGTTCTTTCGAAGCAAAAAAAAAAAAAAAA